CACGCTTATCTACTTTACTGATAGTGGAGCATCACTGTGCATTCCTTCTGAAAAAAGTAAAAAAGTATTTCTTTTATAATCTAAGTATTTGAAAAAAGTTTCAATAAAATAGGATGTATTCGTTTCAAGTAGTCTGGCCTTTGTGTGTCAATGTGGTGCACATACCAGTGTTAATTTTGGATTCAGATTCAGTTTAATCGTAGTCTCTTGACTAAAACATAATTCAGTTTTAGTCATAATTAAGTCATCCAAATTATTTAAATGTAGTCTTAGTTGGATAAATGTCTAAACTAAACAGCTGAATTTAAAGTTGATTCAGTTGACTCAAATTAGATTATTTCTTGACAAAAGCGTTGATACATTTCATCATAGTTTTTGTCCTCGTGTATTCGTTTTTATTTAGTTAGCGTCTTGTTGTTGTTAGAAAACAAAGGATCGTAGGCAAAACCTATGATGAAAATGACTGTGAGACAGAATTAACACTGGCTCTCGCAGTATTTTAAAGCTCTCCTGCTGTGGATCGCACTCATCCGGCTTAGACTTGCAGTTTTGTGAAGTGGCTGGCAGATGTGAACCCTGGGAGAGACCCAGCACACCTGCACCACCACCACCACAGGCTATGTACTGAGCACCTGACGGTACCAAGCAGGGGAGCTTTCCTTGATATTTTTGCTTTAATATAATGTTGTGAGAAGCAGCGGACATACCACTGCTCTGTGTCTGAACCATGCTGCTGAGAAAACTTCCATACTGAAGTCTGGTGCTGAGATACAAGACAAACAACACCGCAGTATATCTCACATCAAATGACTCAATATGGAGATGAATACAGCTGTTGTGCTCTAGTGAAAACACATCTGCATGAAATTTGATTTGCATCTGGTGACTGTCACGTTCAATTAGAAGGAAATGTCTTTTCCATGTTACTGTATGTGTGTGTAAAGGATCGTGTTCTGTGACTGTGAAGGGAATCAGTAATGATCCTACCTGTTGAAATTAAGTGTTAAGGGTGAAAGTGTTTGTGTTCATTTCTTTCCTTCTTCTTTTATTGCTTACTTTAGCCATCATGGCTTTCCTGTTTGACCTCAAAGCCCTGGTGGACATGATGTCCATTGGAACTCTGCTGGCCTATTCGCTGGTTGCTGTGTGTGTACTGCTTCTCAGGTTGGTACATTTTTAAATAACTCAAAAGTTTAACTGGAGCAGAATCATCTTTGTGTAATATCCTGCAGGAGCGTCTCTAATAGCTTTCCCAGATGCCCACAGGAATGATTGCCTTGCTTGTTATTGCATCACACTGGTGATGTAAGGGCTGTGAATGGTCTGACTGTACACTGCTCAGTGGCTGCTTGAGTAAATAAAGATGTTTACTTGCTAAACTGAACTTGCTGCACACCTCTGTTGCCTGCACCACAAATATCAGTAAACACGGACATACTTTGCTTGTTCAGTCAAACTGAATCATTTAAATTAAAAAAGTTTAGGGCTTTTGTGAAAGACATACAGTAGTTGATAGATGTGCAGAACACTGAGACTGCATCAGAACATAACACCGCCTTACAGCAGAGCAATGTGGAGTTTAAACCTCAGTAAAAACCAACATTTCTCTTTCTTCCAGGTATCAGCCAGATGGAGCTCTGGAGCGGCAGGCAAGTAAAGGTGAGAGGGATTGCCTCGCGTCTGAAGAGGGCGAGTCAGACTTGACAGAGTCAGAGTCCCACCTCAACATGCTAAAGGGAGGCAGCTCCACACTGCAGACTATTCTACACCCTCCCGAGACACCTTCCGAGCGTTCGTCCAGTGTTGTCAACATGTCCACTGGCGTTCTAGGTAAGTTCACAGTTTACGTTCTCAGTGAGGATTTTTTCTCCTGATTGACTTCAGTCTGTTTGTAAGGTTTCTGTGTCACAATTAATTGTGTGTCGTCAATCCACAGTGTTGGTGGTGTGTGTGATCAGCTATCTCACCACATACCACATCAACTCCGTTTTGGGTTTGGAAGTGTGGATCCTGGCCTCGCTGTCCGTGTGTCTGCTTGTCTTCAGCAGCTGCATCTTTATGGTCATCAGGCAGCCTCAGACTAAGAAGAAGGTCTCCTTCATGGTACGCACCGGCTCTGTAACTCTGGTTTTAACACTAGGTCTTTTGTTATGAGATAACAGCATCTAAAACTGATTATTTTGGTGTGATTTTTCCTTTCTAGGTACCTCTTCTGCCTTTTCTGCCAATTTTAAGCATATTTGTCAACATTTACCTGATGGTTCAGCTGAGTGGAGACACCTGGATACGTTTCTCTGTGTGGATGGCTGCTGGTGAGTGCCTTTAGCCATGAGCCAATACAAATTTTTAAGGAAGTATATTTGGGTCATATTAATAAAAATAATAATAATAATGGATTGCATTTATATAGCGCTTTTCGGGGCCCTCAAAGCGCTTTACAATACCACTATTCATTCACTCTGACATTCACACACTGGTGGAGGCAGCTACAGTTGTAGCAGACTGACAGAAGCGAGGCTGCCATATCGCACCATCGGCCCCTCTGGCCAACACCAGTGGGCGGTAGGTGAAGTGTCTTGCCCAAGGACACAACAACCGAGACTGTCCGAGCCGGGACTCGAACCGGCCAACTCTTCAGCCACAATCACCCTGATCGTGGCTCAAGTGAAATAAATATTTAATCTGCTTTGCAAATTTCAGTCATATTATATTAAAAGGAGTGTTACCTGTTGGCTAATTACTTGTCAATCACATGTTGTTGACCAATGAGCAAATGGTTTCGCAGTCATACTCATCCCTCCTTGTCATATCTGTTTATTTGATCAAAGTTTCAAAATGAGATTTCAGAAACCAACGCTAAATAACCTTGATTATTGTCTATGCTAACAATCAATAACCTTTTCTTTGTCTTTTTAAACATCAGCATGTAAAGTTGTTTACTTCTGCTGTGGATTTGTACATTTTACCATGAGAGGATATGCAGGAAATAACTTTTGAAAACACCCTCAAATGGCAATTTGAGGGGCTGCAGTTCAATTTTAGTTTATTTTTTGAAGCTTTTAAGGTTTCCCTTTGGAAATTAATCTGTAAGGGTAAAGTGAGTAAGCAATGAAGATATAATAGAGCTTTAGATATGCTGGTAGATTACTTTGGTTACCTTTGAACAGAGTCAAGCGGTTCCCTGTAAGCTCTTTTCCACATCTCCCCCTGTCTCATCACCACTTTTCTCAGGCTTCCTGATCTACTTTGGGTATGGCGTGTGGCACAGTGTAGAGCGTCAGCGCCAGCTCCAGCTTCAAAGTGGCACGGCACAGGAAAACACCAGGAGCAACCAGGAGAAGCGTGACAATGTGGATGCAGAAGGAAAGGAACAGGAGTCTTTCATCTGCTCAGAAAAGACCAGCCAGTGTTAAAGGCTGCCGGCTCCTTCACAGACTGTGTGAGGGAACAGATGCATAAAAGCACACAGCAGCTATTCCTGGATGAGCCTGTATATACAGCTTCACCGTGTGTGCTTCACAAGCACATTCAGTCTGCAAAGGCAGCATCAGTATTACGTATCAGTGGCACATGATGAGGAATCGCTCTATGACTGGGATGAGACCACATCCCATGAGTCACATTTGTGGACAAGCATGGAGGGAGAACGGACAGGTAACACACTGGAGAGTGATTTTCATTTATTTTAGCGTTGAAACAGTCAGTGCAAGGCTGCAGAGAAGCTTTTCCATACACTGACAGGTTTGTACAGGTAAGGTATCAATGTAAAGTTCAATGTAGAGTTTGATACACCAGTAGCTTAGTGCAGCATTTGGTTGTTAGCCCTTTCGGATGATCATTACATATATAATTCTACTAGCTGTGTATAAATCATTATCACAAGACTTTCAGAGAAATGTACAATGTGTGAAATAGTTTTGTAGACACATAACATGTCCTGACGTGACTCACCTGAAAGCACGCCAATTGTTGGTGGTAGTTTTCAGCCATGTGTAGGTATTATGTAACAACCCATAGAAACCTCTGTTACAAGTAGTGAGATCTCTGTAACTGTTGCTGTGGTCTTATTTAACAGGTTCCCCCTGGAGTTTGTTGACCTTGTTACTACATAAATAAAAAGATAGTTATTTGATGCAGAGCTCTCACTCTATCACATATATTTTCCTGTTTGTCTGATATTTTGCGATATTTTGATGTAGACATGCTGTTAATATAAGCTTCATGAAAATGTCCTCTGTCATCGCTGCCTAACAAAGTATTCCTGTATATAAAGTAAGCTCCTCATTCCTCATGTATATATGTATTTTTTAAACGGTTTGTAACTGGTTTCAAGAGATTTTGTGTGGTTGTATTCATTCCTCTTGGCTTTTAAGGACTGCTGGTGTTTTCCTTGGAGTTTATTTTTCCATAGAGCATTGAAGCTGTGGTTCATCGATGTGCTCCGTGGTCTAAAAACTGTGAAACAAATTCAGCAGGTGTTAGTAAGGTGTTCTGCTACAAAGAAGCTCTACACTGACGTGCAGATGACTGCAATAAGGGTACAGGATGAAGAACGTACTGCAGAAGATGCTGTAATGGAGTGTCACACCAACTGCACAAATACAATAAAATAAAATGTATTTTCCGGTAATACAGTGTCAGATGTGTCTTATCGCTTGTAATTTCCACAGGAAGATGAACTTTTTAGTTTGTATTTTTTCCTCAGAAACTTCTCAAAAACAGGAGTGTCCATAAACACACACTCTCCACTTGGGGGCGCTGCTCAAAAATTGTTCAAGAACGAAAACTCATTATTAAATGTTAGCTCCCTTTCACATCTAAACTCTATGCAAAGAGAAATACTTACATTTGTTGTTGTAATCTATGCTTTTTAAGCTCATTTCAAAGAAAGTAATCCTCTTCAGGATTTGTCTCTGCAAAAACACAAGAATCAGAGAAAGAAGCATTGTGACGGCTGCAGATGTGCATCAGTCTCATGAAAACATTGACAATGACATCAATGAAGTTCCCACTAAAAGTCTAAAGTCCTTGTTCTATGACACAAAAATAAAAAGGTATAATTAGAAAACTAAGTCAAAAAAGACCCTCCAGCTCTCTCTGGATTCCCAATGAACTGCTCACATTTTTTCAGGTTACATGCTGGTACATATATCTAGCTATTCATAATGAGGCATTATTAATATTTCACTTTCCTTCGATATACGTATGGGCATGTGCCTTGAATTTTCTTGTCTAAAAGAAGGCCAGTTCACACTGAGGGCCAGCAGAGGGCTTCCAACTACAAGTTTCTGCTCTTCAGATCAGAGAAATGGGAGTAAACAGAGGAGCTCTGAAGTTATTTTCCCTCTTCCGTTCAGTCTGTGAGGAGGATGGAGCTGGAAATCTAAATAGGGCAACTGGAGCCTGCAAATTTCCAGCCAAGCTCCAAGCCTGACTTTCTTTACTCGCCTCACCCCTTCATAAAACCCCCCGATCTCTCTCCAGAACGTGCAGATTCCTCGACCCTCTGACCATGAACCTCTGGGCTGTGCTTTGCTTGACTCTGCTCGTGGTAGAGCTCCAAAATGGTAAGTCTCCATTTCCACATCTGTCATGTCAATTTGTTAGTGAAGAAAGATGGCTGTTAACGTAATCACGACAGCTTTGGCTGTAACAATGCAGAAGAGGGAGAATGAGACAATCTGAGGATGCATCAGGACTGGCTGGGAGCATTGGCCTATGTGGTGGGCGTAGAATGGGAGGTGCAATCATGCAGTAGATCTCACTCACAAACTGCAAAGTTTAAATTCTGTTTACACTCCCTCTGAGGTCTGCAGCCACTGACTTTAAAAAAATCTTTGCATTTTATGTATGGAAAGTGTAAAAGCATGCAAAGGATTTGAGTTTTTGAAAGTTTTTCCTAAAGTGCTCCTGCAGAGCGACTCAAACCAGCTGGATCTAAGGTATGCAGCAGGCGTTTTTAATTATCTGGCCTGTACTACTGACCTCTCTCTGAGTTTCCATTAATGCAGCTCTGAGGAATAAAACAACAAATTCTGAAAGTCTACACTTCAGGCTGATTTTTCTTGTATTTAACGGTTTGTGTGTTTCACAGAGAACAAGAGAGCAAAAGGAGAGGAACAGCTATGGTCATACTGTGCCAGTAACTTGGACTTTTTACACATCCTGTTTTAATGTTACCGCAGCTGGAGAAAGAGCAGCTAACCTAAATGGACAGAGCTGCAGTGTTATTGTGACATTGTCATTGTAACCCTAACAATCATTTTAGATCATTTTAGGGTTTTTATTTTTTATTTATATCATGGTATAAATGAGTTTATTTTTTGGTCATTTTAAAATGAAAGTCTTTGGGGACTAACTTGAGCCACCCCCAAGTGGCCATCGTAGGAACTGCAGTTTTGTTTTTGCACTTTCCCTGTTGGCTTCTTTATCAGACTTGGAAGTTATAGATATATAAGTTATATCTATCATATCTATCTATTGATCTATTTATTATTAGTTTCTCCCCTCTGTCCTCTATGGCTCTGTGTTTGCAGGTGCATGCCAGCAGGTCAAGCGAAGAAAAGACATCGGAGAGAACCGCATCCGGCCAGGTGGGAAACGGGTAAAGGTGTGGCCTACGCTGAAAGACGGACGAGGCAGAAGCCATTCACTCCTGACGCAGGTGTTGGATAAAGGCCGCTTCCTCCGCCTGGGCCAGAGCACCATTTTGACTCCTGGGAAAAACATGGAGCTGCGCTGCAAAGGCAGCAAAATCGGATGGTCTTACCCGACTTACCTGGATACTTTCAATAACTCACGCCTCAGGTGCTGGAAGGAAACACGAGCTACTTCATGCAGTGAATCATTAAATCCGAGCATCTTATATTTTGGTTCTCGCCTGCAGCATCAAGCAAAGCGACAAGTACAGTCAGCTGATCCTGACGTCGCCCTCTGCTGCCGACACGGGGGCTTACAGCTGCTGGGTGATAGTATGTGATGGCACAGAGTGTGAGAAGGACCACGATCGCGCCTACGTCTCATACATCTATTTCAAAGGTAATTTTAAAAATTCTTTATATTTTTCTTCCAAGGAGCCAGACTTTCTTCTAACCTTTTAAAGTGGTCTTGAGCAATAATTTCCCAGGCTTTCTGAAGGTCTTCTCAAAGTTTTTCTTTGGATCTTGACTGCTTTTTAACTTGTGGTATTTTCCGCACTATAAGGCACACTTTATGTGGTACACGGTGCTCAAAAACTTTGTCAAAAAATGTTTTAGTACAACTTTGGTAAGCTACGAAGAATCGTAGCGTAAGGGAATCACTCAGGACTCACTCACCCCCTCCCTTCCTGTGCTGAATCATAGCGTAAACGAATCACTCACTTACTCACCCCCTCCCTCCTGGCTCACAGCTTCTTCTTCTTCTTCTTGGTTGGCAACCAATGTTAAGGAGCATTACTACTGGAGCATTTTCAATCACTCATCTTAGCAGTAGGATTTACATGAAAAGAGAAACAAATTAAGTTTGAGTGAAACTGTACATTTTTTTGCACTCTCTGGTCAACTGACTCAGTGACTCAAGTGACTCAAAAAACTCGATTGACTTTGATGAGTTACTCATTCAAACTCAAGGACACAACGACCGAGACTGTCCAATAAATTGGCCATAGGTGTTAATGTAACAACATCTGTATCTCTGTGTTAGCTCTGCATCAGATTGGCGATCTGACCAGAGTATAGCTAGCCTCTCGCCCTATGGTAGCTGAGATGGGCAAGTTCTTAACAAAAATATCAATAACTTTTTCTCCAAACAGACAAAGACAACCTCTTCGTTCCATCCACCATGCACTTTGAGATTGTGTATCTACGCCCAGACCAGCCTGCCGTGGTTCCCTGCCGTGTGACCGAGCCACAGGCCAAGACATCCCTGCACAGAGAGGTCCCCCCGGTGGAAATCACAGCAAATATGACCCAGATGGCATATGATCCCACCAAGGGCTTCATCCTGCAAAACCCGAGGCCAGAGCACCAGGGAGTCTTCTACTGCAAGGCTGAGACCATGGACACCCCTCAGATCTCCACAAAGTACCAGCTGCTTTATGTGGAGGGTGAGCACAAATCAATCACATGACACCTCATGAATAAATACAGTAATAGAAGATATAAACATGCTGCATGTAGAAACACTAACTATTGTTCTGTGAAACTAACTGCTACGCATAACCATTTATCTTACTGACTCTAAGTGGTGACAATCAACTTTTTGCAATGTTATGAATCAAGCGCTGGTTACTTCTACGACGTCTACTTTTTAAATCGGCTTCCAGGAAAGGGTTGTATTTCAAAAATGTCAAGAGCCTCTTTAATCCTCACTGCTGTGCTTGGTTAATGTGGACGCCTGCCAACTAAAGTGGAAACAGTCTGGATTTTGCAAAAGGGGGACAGATTTATGCAATGGAACTATTGTGCGGTTTAGATACAGTTAAGCTGCTGTGGCACGGTCGACTGGCAGGTGGAGAAAAATCCAGATTCAAGTATGGTTCAACAGTTTGAATACCATCAAATATTTATATATATTTATGTTTTTTTTTAAATGACTTTAATACTTTAAGGAGATGGAACTTACCTTTCTCTCGATGACAGTTCCCAGTGGGCCACCGTTTGTGAGCCTTGAAGCCTCTCCAGACTCTGTGAGAGGAGGCGACAATGTCAATGTAACCTGCACAGTGCTGGGAGAGCCAGATGTGGACGTGAGCTTCACTTGGACTTATCCTGGTCAGGTAAGAGAAATCCTGGACTAAAAGTCAGACCCGATTACAGGTATTAAAAATGAAAAAGATCATCGTAGTCCTTAAATGGATAAAGTTAGCTTTTAAGAATGAATCAACATGTTTTTAAAAGGCCCTTAAAATGTACTTTTTATAATAATAATTCTGTCCAACTTTTTACTATTTAGAAAAACAACAAAGGAGTCTACAGGACAGAGCTGAGGTTGAAATTTAGACTTCATATATTTAGTTTTTTTTTTTTAGTTTAATAATGCAGCACGGTGGTTAGCACTGTTGCTGCACAGCAAGAAGGTCCTGAGTTCAATTCCACCATTAGGCCGGGGTCTTTCTGTGTGGAGTTTGCATGTTCTCCCCGTGTTTGTGTGGGTTCCCTCCAGGTACTCTGGCTTCCTCTCACAGTCCAAAGACATGCAGCTTGTGGGGATAGGTTCTTTGGATAATCCAAATTGCCACTAGGAGTGAATGTGAGTGCGAATGGTTGTCTGTCCCTGTGTGTTGGCCCTGTGATAGACTGGCGACCTGTCCAGGGTGTACCCCGCCTCTCGCCCTGTGACAGCTGGGATAGGCTCCAGCGCCCCCCGCGACCCTGAAAAGGATAAGTGGAAGCGAATGGATGGATAGTTTAATGATGGTTTTAAAAGAGAAGTTATTATTTAGCTGCGCGTTTTTATGATTCATTAGCCTTGTCATAAAAGTTACTCACTGCATTTGAGTATTTTCGCAGCTGCCCTTAAAAACAAAAGCAAAACCCAATTGTGGTATACGTGATGTTCTACTTAAAAGCTGAAGGTTAGGAGTAAAAGATTCTGTTGCCACCTTTAAAAATGGATTTTTCTATTTTCTTTTGATAAAAGTAAAATGAGTTTGTTACAATTATGCTCTTTATTGTTGCTGATAACTGTCACAGTGGGAGGAAATCATGTGTTCATGTTGTGTAGGGCTCCCGACCCGTTCACATCCAGACTTCCTGGAGGCTGGTTAACAGAGGTATGGGCTACACCACACGCGTCACCCAGAGCATCCTGACGGTAGAGGACATGGAAACCATCGACTTTGGAGAATACATGTGTAAAGCCAAGAGCCAGCATGGCGAGACAATCGTGGGGACCACCATCTCCAAATAGCCCTAAACAACCTGACCTGCTGGCTCCATCTGATATTCAAGAGTTTTTGACACATTGGTGTGTCTTTTTTTTAAATCTATGAAATACATGAAATCAGCATGTATATAAATAAAAATACATTTTTGCCAAGTTGAAAAGTTCATGTCATTAAAAGCAAGCTATGGACGACAGTCATTCACATACATCTATTAAAACATATATTTAGAGGTTTCATTTTGCAGCACAACAGGGAGTCTAAGCATGCAAACACCTGAAGTCCAAAGAACAGTAAAGAGCCAATCAGCACACTCCAAACTACTCAAGATCTCAGGAACATCAGATAAAAGAAAAGTTGTTTCATAACGTGCATCATGTGATCCCAGAAGTCACCAAAACTGGAAAACACAATTTTCTTAACTGTAGAATAACATAAATGAAGGTAATAGCACAAGCTCTGGGGGGAGGAGTCCTAATCATTTGGGGCTGTCATGACGACACCACATGGCTGCTGTCACTTCTGGCAGAGAGCTGTGTTGGACACCAAATCAAACATCCCTGACTAATCAGAGTTGGGCTTCATTTAAACAGAGTAATGAAGCTGTAAGAAAAAACAGAAAGGAGAGTGGCAGGAGTCAGAGTCCCGCTCTGTCTGAAGAGGAGCTGTGTGCCAGGCGGGCGTCTTAATGTGCTCCGTATGTGGAATGTGATCTGAGGCCTGCAGCTTATTTTGATCCAGTGCAACACTTGCTGATATTTCCACTTTGCTGAAAAGTTACTGGTGGTTAGGATTTTGAAATATACTTTGGATTAGGATTATGAATGAATGCTTGTGGTTTATAAAAGCATTAACAGGTTGGACCCAGTATATACACTGTATAGCATTTCAGTCAACTAGAGTGAGGGAAATTTGGCATTTAAACTTCAATATCTCCTTAGAAAAGCTCACGAGTAGAGCTTCATCATAAAATGTGGGTACCACTTTTACCAGTTTTGACTGACAATCCATTTCACAGCTTCAGTTTAATACAAGACTTTATTAATAGATTATTTCAAACAGGATCAGCACATCTATTATATAAATTCAAAACAAAAATACTCAGACATTTCCAAGATACAGTCTCTGACACAGATGAGCAAAGCTGCTTCTGGTCAGCTCTTTGCACAGACGCTGACTTTAAAGCTGTGTTAGGAGGCTTCGGTACGGGCTACACATGCAAAGAGACTTGGACTGGTCCCTCGGTCAAATAAACATTGAAACAAAACCGTACAAGGCCACAAATGATCCAGAACCCAACTATTACCAAAAAAAAAAAAAAGCCTTAAAAAATAACATAACCAAGGAAATTCTGAACATACTTATTAGTTTTATAGAAAGAAAATACTAATTTAAAAAAGAAAAAAAAGAAAAAAAAAAATCGGCATAAGAAGTTTAATGTTTTTTTTCCTCATTTTCCTGCAAATGTACACATGCATGTGTTTTACTGCATGTACTGTGTGTGTATGCCGAGCTTCAGCAAAGATAAGCCTCTACAAATAACAAAGTGTTTCATTACATAGAAGTCCTGAGATTTCCTCTTTCCTCCAGCCAAAGAATCAAATTCTAAAGGCAAACATCGTGGCCTTCCTTATTAAGTGCTTCTGTGCAGTGTTGTTTTTCCTGTATTTCTGCAGTGTCAGAGTTCATCTCATTCTGAATGAGCCAAGGTCAGGCTGATGTTTTGCTAAATGCAAAGGAAATAAAGATGGCTCTTAAGTCCAGAGGGACAACTCAAATGCAGTGTTCTGCTTCCTGGAAGCAGGAGCCCGTTGTTATCTGGGTGACAGGGGAGGGCTGGAGAAGCAGCCAGAGCTGCGAGGTGATTGGAAGTTGAAGGAGTGGGAGGGAGAGGTGGAGGTGGGAGACACCTTGCGTGGGCTACTCAATTCTCCATTATGGAGCTTCCACAGCAGCTCCTCGTTCTCCATGGACAGACGCTTGTTCACCTTGGACTCCTTATGAAGCGACTCCTGCAGCATGGCCTGCTCTGTCGACAGCTGCCTGCGGTGCATCAACACAGAGTCAGAGACGAGCAGAGGCCTGAACAAAGCATTTCATCGTATACAGTTTTTTTAAACTGGGGTATACTGTGACAGTCACTTATGCTGCAAGGCTAACCTGCTCCAGATATGCAGGTACCACGTATGAAAACATCACCTACTGGCCAATCAGTTCTCTGGAAATGGGGTCAGCATTCCGGACAGATTCCCTTGACCTCCGTATGCTGAGAGGAGGAGGATCTAAAATTCTTCAGCAGTGTCTCGTGTCTTTGTGTTTCTCTGACAAGTTTCATTAATATACACATTCTTACACTTGATTCCTTCCAATTTTACAGTTTTAGGTTAATATATTAATGCTTCTAAGACATCCTCGGACATCTGCGCTGCACTTTATATCACAACTGACTTTATGTCAAATTTGGACACAGATTAAAGGCCTTTATACACCAGAAGCACAAAATCTGTATAAATATTTTATGTTTCAATAATATTATTTTGGACACCTATTATTATTTTTTCCAAACCAAGCTTGATTTTTCAGATTTTCTGGATCCAAATCAACAGATGTGACCAATCAGATCACTGTACTTGGCAGCAAAGTACATTCACAACTCAAATATGCAACGATAGGAAAATAGTAGATGCACAGATAGATGCTGTCTGGGTCAGTCGACTCTATAAAATAAAGTCTCTGCTTACTCGGATGTGCCCCCAGCTCTGAAAACAAGAGCTCAAACTGACATCCTGAAATATGTACGCGAGCAAGCGTGATCTCCTGGATGAAACCATGAAATTATCACTGCTGCCTTCTTCTGAGAATTACTTTATTAATTTAGCAGGCCTCTTCCAGTGTTAATGACTGAAGTGCACACTTTAATTTAACACACACACACACACACACCTGAAGTGTGTGTGTTTTCTATATTTGGATGAGTTTGAATCTCAGTAACTTCCACCTGAAGGCATAAAGGTCAGTTTTGCAGCCCTATTTGACAAAACGTTGGGACGCTGTGGAGGCCCTGTGAGTTGCGTTCACAGACAGTCATTTCTAGACATGCTCGTGAGCCAATGCAGTGATTTCCATCACAGAATCAGGCCTGTTTTTAATGCTGTGCTCACCGACGGCCTCAGCCATACAATATTCCTTTTTGGCATTTTCCTTTGCGCGGCAACAAAGATAAGACAAAGCATCCCAAATTTTATTTGGAATTAAGGTCGTAAAAGCAATTCCAAAAAACAAACAAACCAAAAAACAGTTCTACAACCGCACTGACCTCCTCAGATGGAAAAGGGAATATGAGTCACTTTTCGATACATATTTGGAATCTTTGTGAGTAGCTGCGGCACCAGGATGGTGGCGTGATCGATAGTTTTTGGAATAAAGTAGAGGTGCATTAGAGGTTAGGAATTATATTGGCACACAGAAAAAAGCTTGGTGTTCATTACACTTAATGAATGCAGTAATTTAAAATGAGTCTGAGCTGAGGCAGCTGTTCAGGTGCTTCACTCTGTGGAATTAATCACTATGAACCCATATGGTGGACTCTTACCTTGAAAGAGCAGCGTGTTTTTCCATGCGGGCTTTGAGGTCTTCGTTCTCTTGCTGGACTTTTTTAAGGCTCTCGTCTAACTTTACATTTTTCTCTGTCTGGAAAAAAAAAAATGAATGAAAAGAGCGAGTTTAAAAGGGAAAGTCTCAGCAGCAGTGCTGAACTTTAAGTTTCTTTATCGTCTGACCAGTTTGGCTATCTCCATGAGCTTCTTCTCCTGTTGGTGGACCTGTGTGTTTTTGATATCCAGCACCACTTTGAGACTTTGTAGCTCCTGCTCCAGATACAGAGTGTGAGGGTCCTTCTGTGAGTGAAAAAAAAAAGTAGAGGGAAATTGCTTAGGATCCTTTATGAAGACAAATAAATAAATAAATAAACAAATAAATAAATAAATAATAACAGACCATATATGGGTGGGGCGGTGGTTAATGAAGCACTCCATTACTGATCATGTGTCGTTTTATTAAACTGCTGCTGTGTCGTTTTATTAAACTGCTGCTCGTGCCATTTTTTTCTGAATAAGTGTATTAATAACAAATATGGAGTGACAGGTAATGTGAGGTAGTTAGCCTAAATAACTATGCTGGGGGAACAATACAGAGTACAGTTAGAGCCACTTTACATTAATGAGGAGTGGCGGCCTTACTGTACAACAGCACTGCAGGAAAATTAACTCTGGGCGGGGGAATCTAGTGCATATGTAGCAGAAATTAACTCATTTCAATTCATACCTATTCATACAGTAGAGAAGAGTTAATGAGCGTTAATTACTGAACAAACACATCATTGCAGACTTGAGAATGAAATCCTCTAAGAAAATATGAAGACATTTTTGCATCTGTTCCCATTTTATCTTAAATCTTTCATGCTCAGGGGGAAACGACACTAGAGTCACAAGATGCTTCTGTATCAGATCTGAGCTATAATAAGCACAGAGTACCTGACTGTTTTCAGCCAGCTCTTTCCTCTTCCTCTCCTCAGCAGTTAGCCTCTCATTTAGAGCACTATTCTCCAAGGTCAGCTCCTCAATTTGACTCTGTGGATGTACAGCACAACAAAGTCTGAGCAAACCATTACAAAGTAAGTTACAGTCCTGTTGTAAGATGACTTAAAAGAGCAGAAGAGGAAGCTCACAGAGAGAGAGGCTTCAGCATCTTTTAAGGTTTTGTCCAAAGCCTCCAGCTCCTGGTTGTGGACTTTCCTGAGCTCTGAAAGGTTTGCAGATTCCAGTATCACAAAATGAAATGAACACAATGAAAATGCATGGAATAAAAACAAAGACAAATGTTCCAATATTTAATGCCTGCATTATGCAGGTGATGAATATATTTGGATTGTTCTCTCACCTTCCAGTGACATCTCATACTGCTGTTTAACACACTGCAGCTGTTCTTCATGGCTTTTCTCAAGGTCCAACTTCATGGCTTCATGATTTGCTTTAAGCTCTTCAATCTTTAAACAGAACATAAAAGTCAGTTAATTTTCCCCACAGGATTAAATAAAATTGACCACTAGACTAGGCTGTAAATCATCTTTAAATTTCCCAAAATAAGAATCAGAAGGTGCTGTAGAGACAAACCTGCTGCTGCATGACAGTTTTGGACTTGTCTGCCTCTTTCTGGTAGGCACAGTGAACCTTGTCCCTCTCAGCCTGGTAGTAGGCCTGCAGCCTCTGCTCCAGCTCAACCAGGTCATTACGGTGCTGTTCCTGCAGTTTGTGCAGTGCATCCTCCAGAGCAGCACGCAACTCTTCATTCTCCTTCTCCAGATGCTCAGATGAATGAACAGAGGAAACTGGAAGGATAAAGTTTTATCTTGGTGAAAGCTGACAGCTTGCATTGTATTCAGCTACTCTGTTTATTAAATATCAGTCTGTACAGCTGCAAAGTCAGAGGAAAATTTTCATTAGCAACTGTAAGAAATCTGATGTGTCCTCTAATAAAAGCCTTTTTAGCAAAGTCCTCGTTGATGCGAACATGTGTCACCAAATGCTCTCCAAAAAGGAATGGAAAAACTGACTTTCAAGGGGAGGTGCCTGCACACTTGAGTGCTGATGCCAGCTACACTGCATGTCAATTCCAGACACAAGAAGAAATAGAAATGAGTCCAAATTCTTTCACAACATCTCAAGGCAGATTTCTTAAACCATTTCCAAGATGATCATTGGCCATTTTATCCTTTATTTGCCATTGATGGCTTTTGTTTTCCATCTCCAAATCAGCCTGACAAGTTCCAAACTGTTTCCACTGACAAGTGTTTATATCTGGGCTGAAGTGGGTGAGAGAAGCAAACTCCATAAACTGTCTGCAGCTCAAGTGTCTGTGCACAAACAGTGCAAATATCTGTCAGCTGGCAGGTCAGTCAGTGCACTACAGAGAGACTGCGATAGTGTTAAGACAGTTATGAAGAACAAAAACTTCTTCCATGTCAAACAGGCTGTGCTCCTCTAAAATCAGAATACTTTAATAGTTCCTAAGGAAATTATGTGGGTTACAGTTGATCCAAAACAAAAGTAACAGACTGAACCAAATAATACAATAATGTATTATTTATTGTACAATTAACACTAATAAGAATGACAAAAAAAACAAAAACAAAAAAAACAAACCCCTCAAACATTCAGGACTTGCAACTATGTGCACCTGCAGCAGTGGCTGTCAAATGCTGAATCCAGATGTTGCTCTGTAGTGACACATGTGTGGCAGGTACAATTTGATGTTCTCAGGGTGCCACTGCACAGTGAATGTTTGTAGATCATTTCCAAACAAAAGGTAATCTCCCAAACCAAATGAAAAAAATAAATAGAAAAATAGAAAAAGGAAAGTCAAGGATGCCTGAGAATGAGGAGCCGCCTTATTCAGAGTGGAA